CCACGGGAAGGACTGGTGAGATATTTTTTTATCCCGGAGTGGTCCCAAGAACAAGAGAGATAATATTATCCCTGACTGGTCTCGACAACGAAGAAGTTAATATTATCCCAAAGTGGCCCCAACAAGGGAGATAATATTATCTCTGAGTTTTCCCCACGAACGAAGGAGATAATATTATCCCCGAATAGTCCCAAGAAAAGAAGAAATAATATTATCTCTAAGTGACCAAACAAGTAAGAGATACTAGTAATATTATTCCTGAGTGGTCCCAACAACAAGGGAAATAATATTATCCCTGAGTTGTCCCAAGAATATTACCACTGAATTGGTTGAACAAAGCCTGAACCATGTTAAAGACAACCCTGGACGGGGATGTGTTGCAACTGTATTTCCACTCACAGACACCCATTACCTTGTGAACATCTTGTCTACTTCCAACAAAAATATTTCTAGCTTCTTGCAATGCGCCATTTGTGTTCGTTTTCCCGCTATTTCTATACGTCACATGCCGAATATCCTGACTGAAGTGACACTTGTTCTTCGGTTCCCGGATGTAATCGATATGTCGCACCACATCTTCGCTGTAACTGACGACGTCGACTCGCGTCGATGCTGGAGAAATCGAGAACTGCCCAAGTAGACTTTCTACAAAGCCCTTTTCAGCTTCAAAGTTCGCCGATCCGACGCTGGCCGAGCGATCCAGCAGAAACACCAAATCGGACTTCCCTTGCGGGTACTCCTTGCTCAGAGGTGAATTCAAAATATCGTTTGCGTTCACAAAATGGCAATGAAAAGCAAACATTGCGAGATATAGCCACATGTTGGTTGTCCTTACGAGCCGTCTGTTACATGTGTTTACTTTCAAGCAAGTTTATATAAATAGATGAACATTACTAGTGAGACGACGGGGAATATAATACGAGACTATCGGTACCAAATGCCTAGTTCTCGAACTCCCCACGTCGTCCGGTTTCCAATAATTGAATTTCCTGCTATTGTACATCTTTCGGAGAAAGATCACAAAGATTATAATTCCAAGAAAAATTGCGCTGTTCCGTTTGACATCCAGTCATGTTGTAAACAATCGATGTTAGTGCATTTCCAATCTACAAGACTAGCAATATTCACAATTCGAGATTTGTCAAAAAATATAAGACGAGAGACGTATAACGAAAGGAATCAAATAAGTGTCTGATTCGAAGCAGAGGACAACATCTTTGATGTCAATGCGCTCTGATGCTGTATGTAGGAGCTTAGCTTATATAATACTAACTCAAGACAAACCCGCAAAGTGATCTTTGACCTCTGGTAACAATTGTTTATATCAGCGCTCAACATTCGTCGAGCTTCAGCCGTTGTCAAGTGATGTTAAGTTGCAAAATGAAATGGTTGGTTATTTTGTTCATTCAGTTGTCGGGGCTGTTGATAACGACAGATTGCCGGGTCATCATTGGTATGTATTGAACTAATTCTATATCTCAACGTCCTGGTCTTGTCATCAAGACCGAAGTGAGCGTCAACCGATTCTCCCGAGTAACGTGTTTCATATATATGACGAATGGGATGCGTTACAGTGGACAGCCACTGTAATACACTACAGTTTCAATCACGTAGTTTCGATCGAGTAATGGACAATGTAATATAATCACGGCAAAATATCACTACAGATAGCGTAAAATTTATCGTAATATATGTTTTCCCCAATAAGGCGACGAACCTAGTGTTATGTATAGTTGTCCAGATTTGGGACAGCTCCGCCACGGATCTAAAGTTTTATACAGTAGAGGAATGTACGCAAGCTTTTATTGCAACGTTGGGCTTAAGTTGTATGGAAGCAACTCGTTACGATGTCTACGGAATGGAGATTGGGACCTACCAATGCCTATCTGCATAGGTGAGTGTTGTAATTACTACTGGATATTATATTTCAGAGGAGGTAGTATGGATTTACAAGTACCTTGAACCATGGAGCTAAACTTTTTTTACATGATCATGATCGGTGAAACTGGGGGGGGGGGGGTCGGCACATCGCATTAAACATATACGCCCACTTCAAAACGGGTAATGAAAAACGACAGTTCAGAATATGTGTTTTTTAAACGCTACTTAAAAAATAAAATAAATGAATCGAATATTATAATAGAAAATATATTTATGTTACGTTATGATTTATAGTTCGTTGAGGCATATACCCAGTGCATTTCTGACATATGACCCCGGCATTCGTTAAATTTGACCCTTATCCCTGAACCTGCTCAGTAATTTCATCAGGATGAACGTCAATAATGAAGTGTGATTTATTCATTGAAGGGGAAATCCAATACAGTCGACTTACTGCAGCGTAGTGCTATAGTTTGTTTGAAGACGCCCGCAAGCGAAAAGAAACGCTGCATGTTAGGGGTGAACCATTAACAACTTTGGAGGGAAATGACAATACACTGTGCAAAATATGTTTGTTTTTTCCTTTGCATGGTTTTTTGCCATTTTTGCCCCTATGTGATACACCGCCTCAAAGATTAAAGCGTGCAGTTTTTTATGTTATTGATCCCGGCAGGATTTTTTCACGATTTTTCCGGTGCATTTTTTTTTCAGATTGTGCCATCGTAACCGAGTTTCTCATGGCCCACCCATTAGTCCTTGTTCTAGTGTACAAACCGAAAATCGGGCAATCATACAGATTCATCTTTTATCCACGCATACATGTTTCCGCATTTTCATCTCATAGAATGTCGGGGTCAATTAAAACTCAGACTTCATACATTTACCATGCATTATTGTTTTACAATCCAAGATGACCGTTTGGTAGCCAGTTTGTCTGCTACAAATACATCAAGCTTTTCTTCACTTGCGGATCCGAATCTCGGTCATGCATGAACGAATTATGTCCAAATTAAAGCG